TGTACTTGCCGAAAGGACGTAGGACCACACGTTGACATTGGTCAAGGACCCTTGGAAGGACTGCCTGGAGTCGAAGCCCCCTCCAACTGAATCTTGATCCTGCCCCAGCACCACAGACCCTCCTCCTCTAATGGTGTGTCCTGCCCTATGTCCTCTGGCGTGCATATGCATAACTCCATCTTTGTAGAACTGCCATGCGCCATGAATGCTTTGCCAAGACACACAAATGTGGTGCCATCTGCCGTCATTAGCTGATTGATGTGCTTTCCTGAGGCAGTCAAGAAAGGTGATGTCAGGGAGACTCGCTTTCAGGAAATCAACAGTAAGTAAACTGAAGAAACGAAAGGCTCCCACTTAGGAAGTTTGGAATTAGTCGGCTGAGGGATATTTCAATTACATGGAGTTTCTCATAGACTTCTTCACGTATTTACAAATATTAAGTCACCTCAACTACCTACTTTATTATATTTTTCTCCGTAACCAAAAAGAAAAAAAAAACATCAACAAAAACAACCAAAAAAAAAAAACGAAAAAACAAACAAACAAAAAAACAAACAACAAACAAACAAACAAACAAACAAACAAAAAATAAATACTAAACTGTGAACTGTATATGAGCTTTCAGACAATAAAAAGAAATTTAAAAAAAAAAGAGTAAATATTCACCAAGAAAATGGACAGAGACGTTTTCTACCAGAAAATAAAAGTTTCTATAAATTGAGAGCTAAGAAATATGTTTTCTCAAAACTTTATTTTCACTGGATGGGGACACTTAGAAGAATTACGACATAAGCGATTTGTCTGATTTCAGTCACATTTGGTCCGTTGAAAGATTCTTTTGAGAGTCATTCCTGTGCGGTCACTCCCTAACTTCTTAGCAGTTTTGAAAATTTTCTGTAGCTTTTAAATGTAATCGAAAAAGGAAAACTCGAACAAGCTTTTTCTACGTTTGGGTTCCAGACAGCGTGAAAAGTAGACTCCAAATGTAAAAATCGTGTCGAATTAGAACAAGATGAAAAATATGATTTATAACTTCCTGTTTAGGCTTCGTAAAAAATTCGATAATTACATTTCCGCAAAACCTAATAAAAGTTTTGAATTGCCAGATCTTTAAGCTTTTATTTGATATAGTGTTTGCAGTCTGCGATATAATGCATGGTGAGGCAAGACATCTGTTGGACTGTAGACACCCCGGACTTAAGGGACTAAAGCAATCACCCAGAGAAGTTGGTTTTACTCAATACTAATTCAGACCAGCTAGACTGATAATTTTAAACTTTTACATGGAAGAAATTCTGCACGTAGCTGACAACTTGAACACACCTCGCTCTTTAACTATATGTTGCTAATGCGAAGACGATATTTCCTGACGATGTAGCCTTTCAACGTTCATTGGATTCCAGATACCTATTTTTGAACTTTTATGTTAAATTTAGTTAACCTGAAAAAGGGTCCAAGCTCCAATCCAAAGTCGCTGTAATTGTAGATAACAAGCTCATTGTCATGCCTTGGAACAGCATAACTGAATGGTATTCCAGCATTTGAAGCAGTCGACTTCATACAGAAACACACTGTGAACTGGGTCAAACTGGGCATGCCCCAGATGTTGGCGTAATCGGTTACTCCATGATGTGGGAAATAGAGAGCATAATCTAAAAAGGGAAAAAAGAAATAATTAACCAATATATATTATCATTACGTTTTTAAGTCACTCTGTTTGATTTCGTTGACATTTAATTGCTGTTCATTTTCAGTGCATGGATAAATGGCACCTCAACTGTTCATTGTAAAAAGAGAGAGGCATAGCTAGTTTACTACTGATATTCTTCATTAATAAAAGTGAGAGAAATTTAAATTTGAAGGAGGCTATTTTCAAGGCACTTTTAAACCTTATGAAATTTGCCAGTAAGAAATTGAAAGATGTCATATATTTTCCGTTTGGGGGAGGAGATATAATTAATTCCTTGGGATCTCTTCGGGGAAGGGGGGAAGGGGTGTAGGGCTCAGCGGGGGAGTGTAACTTTTCTTTACAAGGACAACAGTTTCCTGTACTAATGGAAAGGCGGAGAAGATATAATTAATTCCTTGGGACTTTCTTCGGGGAAGGGGGCGAAGGATGGTTGCTAAGGCTCAGCAGGGGAGTATAACTTTACTTTAAAGGGAAAATAGTCTACGTAAGGTTTAGTTAAATTTCGTGTTCAAGCGTCTTGTAGTCTCTATTTTAGCCGCGAAAGGGTAAAAATATATTTCCTTTTGGTTGTCTTTCAAGAGAAAGGATTTTGTTTTATTATTTGTTCTTGTTGTTTTGGTTCTGTTCTTGTTGTTGTTGGTCCCTCTCGCCAAAAGGCGGCCTTTATACGAAGTTCTCGTCAGCATTACTAGTGTTAGGGCAACTAATTTCCACGGAGTAAGATAAATTGAAATTTAAATCAAAAACGAACGAAGAAAAGGAAAAAAATGACGATTGGTCTCAAGCATACCTTTGGCAGCGCGACCGCT